TATATTGGTTGGTACGGTAATACAATGACATTTATAATCTTGTTCTATTACCATACATAATTACTCACGGTATTACCAACCAAACATGTTAGGTACCAAATATATTGATAGCCAACTTTTTTGGTTCAGTTTGTAGCATGTTGGTTGGTTTTTCGTGGTACACACTTAACAACCCTAGTGTTTTATCTACTAGTTATAATTTAAATATAATATTTAGTAAATGCAAATATCATGCATCTATTAAATTATATTAATTAATCATAAATGCAAAGTTTAATTTTTATGTAGCATATAAAATTTTAATACTTATTAAAAATTGAAATTCGATAACATATTTTATAAAAACTTATAATTGAAACATATCTTATAAATACGAAATAAATGTAGTCTTATTTATTTAATAATTTTTGTTTCGATAAATTCATAATTAATTTAAATTCCTTATACATAGAAAAAAAATTATTTTGTTATAATTTTATGATAAGATAATTTATAATATTGTTGTAATGAAAGAAGATAGAATATCTTTATTAAAAGTTAATTACTAGAAGTGTGTTTTAACAATCAATATAAATTACAAAAAATAATATACGTGAGTATATTTTTTTAAAAAATGAAGTAGTACGGAAGATGAAATATTATTTAACTATATTTTATCCAAAAAAATGAGGTAAAAAAATCTAGGTTCCAAATAATGTGAGAGAGATCGTGGCAGCAATGTCAAGTCTCTAGTTTTTATGGTGAGTCATAACGAGACTTTTGGTGATAATCTTGTATGTAATTAATAATTTTATATGTATTTTTTACAATTATTTATTTTATATACATATATGACTTAAGACTTAATTTTTTTTTTCAAAGCTTATGTCAAGTATAAGTCTTAGAGTCATGACAAGCTTTTTTACAATCACGTAAAAATCAGAGGTGGGACGGACATGATCTTATATACCGATACATCTAAAATAAATCACATATTCAAACAACCGTATTAGAAAAGGCTGAATCATCAAAGGGGCCGGATGAAAATGTTCTCAACTATTTTCCTTTCTTACACATGTGAGCCGTTTGATAAATTGACAAGGATGTGTTGTTAGTTAAAAGTACAAATAGCTAGTTGGAGGTTCTTCACAAGATCCATTGATGACATAATGAAGTCATCATTCTTCTGCGTAAATAAAGAAAAAAATGAATCAGATCCACCTATCAAGGTTTATTGAATCCATATGATATGTGCATTATACATTTGAATGTTAATGCAAGAAAGAGAATAGGATTAAATTTCCATTTCAATTTCATGATTATGGATTCGGAAACATAGAAGTATACCTGAGCAACAATGGTGATAAGAAGAGTAGTATCACCAAACGGCATGGTGCTGCTACTGATGACAGATAGACCAAGCTTCTGTATCTCTCTTAGCACTTTGACCAATGTTGTACAGTTTTTCCGACTGTAGATTTCTACTAGTAGACTGAATCCTGACTCCCTCACTTCAATCTCTGGATTACAAGGATTACTACTCTCTTCAAAGTTTGTTTCATTAGAAGAAGAACCATCGTCATCGCTACAACTAAGCCTCGATCTCTTAGCAGATATATCTGACCCTTGCATGTTCTTTCTTTTCAGTTCTGATAAACCCTCAAGTTCCTTCACACGGCCTTGAAGTTCTTGTATGTAATTCGCTGCGTCTTCTAACACAGTTGCCTTGTCCATCTACCACCAGAGAATTCGTAGCTCATTAATTAACAAACAAATCAAAAAGATCTCAAAGTGGCAATTACTAGTTATGAATTTTAGGGTATACATATTCTTGGGATAATGTTGTACCTTTTTAAGGTCAGGAAGAAGGGAAGACAAAGAAATAAACCGCTGAGCCAACTTCTCTCTTCTCTTCCTCTCGGCCAACACATGATCTTGAACCTGAATAGGGTTCCTTATCATGGTCGGAGCTTTTTTGGTATCAGCTGCTGTGAAACCCAGTGAATCGCTAAAAGAAAGGATCTCGTCTTTAGGCTTTTTATCCCCAAAAGAAATTGTGAAGGTATTATGAGTATCAGAAACTAGCTTTGGCCTCGATTTTTCAGTTGGAGTAAAATTCATGTTAATACTATTGCTCTTTTTGTAGCTAGTTAGCTGCTTGATATTGGATGGTTCTTCAAGGCCCTTCGAAGTTTGAAAAGATTGATCGATAAAAGATGGGTTTTCTGTGTAGCTTTCCGAGGAAAATGAATCAACACTGAAATCATGATCCATCATATGATGATAAGGTTTGTTCATCTGGTATTGATTCATGAACCCTTGCTCTTGCATTTCCTAAAATATGGATTCAACGAACATAAAATAATGATTGAAAAAAAAAATCAAAAAATATATATATGATTCCACATAAATGGACAACTACGTCCAGCATATATGTTTTACATACCAGTTCCGGTAGCCAAGCCGACGACTCCATCGCTTTTATATTTGTGGATGTTAATTAGTTCCAATCTCGCCTGCAAGTAGAAATTATTTTCATCAGATCTCATAGAAAACAGATAAAGATTAACTGAATAAATGATATTCTTTCAAGAAATTTGACACAATATTGTTTGACAAAATCTCTTTAGTTTGAAAACATTTCTAGAGGAAAGTATATAATTCTTCATATGACATTCCACAAATACCAAAACATCATGGGAAGGAGACTAGAAAGTACATGTTATATCAAGAAATCATATACAGATGCAATATATAATGCTCTTCAAGTTTTATTTTTTAGACCCAAAAACCTCATAGCAATAAATACAAGGAGTAGGGTTCATGATTTGATGTAATAATCATGAAATCAACCTTCATTGAAAACTGGGATGACTAGGGGTTGAGACTGTCACCTAAACCGGGAGAGAAAAGGAGATACCTTTTTGAAAAAGAAAGATGACTTTTTATCAGCTTTTTGGGGACTCTTTCTGTTTTTTCATATGACCAAGAGTCAAGAGAATATATACTTGAGCAATTTGTAGTGAATTGATGAAGACTTGAATACTGTGTTCTATTCAGCTGAGACACGTGACGAAAAGCAATTCATTCTGTAATTGATTCCATCTTAATTTCTCCTTCAATAACCTACCTTTTCCCTCATTTTTAAGTTTATCTCAAAGATGATGGTGCAAGCATGGGCAATAATCGACCATTATATAAATGATTTTACATCTTCTTTTCATTTTTCATACTTATTCACAACTTTTTTATTAAAATATAAATGTTTTCGTTTATGTTGTCCTAATATTAACCACTTACCCTTACATAAACAACATCAAGAGTCAATCATATATATAAATGAAAAACAAAAACGAATGAAAAAAGTAAATAAAATTGATATTCTATCTAGATCTGATTAAATTTATTCATATGTGATTACCAATATTTAGATATGATTTTATTTAAAAATACAACAGAAAATGAATGTATTGAACATAATTTTGTTTTGATATGTTTTTTTTACTTCTGAACACACACAAAACTAAGTTATATATGTTATATTCACATATGAATATAACATAATTTCGTGTGATATACATTATTCAAATATGAATGGAACAAAACCGAGTTATATATTTTCTATTCACATATGAATATAACATATATATTCATATGTGAATAGAAAATATGAATATATATGTTCTATTCAATTATTCATTTATGAATATAAAATAGTTTCTTTGTAAAATGTAAATCAAATTCATTTATCTTCTACTCTCTTATGAATGAAGGTAAGAAGATTGACATTTCTGATAAAGACCCACCAACAATGAGAGAAACACGTTCCATGCAGAAAATGAAAAGGTATAAAATTCCTATCATATCTGTTATATTCATTTATGAATAACTTGTATATCCTCAGTATAATTTTCTTTTATTAACATATGAATACTTCAATCTGGATATGTTTTGTATTAAAAAAAACTATTGAATTCCTATATTCATATATGAATAAATATATATGGATTAGTTTTGTTTGTATTCACTAGTAAACAAAACATATCAAAAAGCTAATCATATGTGAATGGAAACGTTTATTCATACATTTATCTTGTTTTGTTTTGGAACATTTTTCTTCTGAAATTGGTAATTGATCTTTAGTATCTTCACATATGAATATAACATATATATTCATATGTGAATA